AAAAAATGGCTGGTTAGCTCAGTTGATTAGAGTACAGCCTTATAACATCAAGGTCATGGGTTCAGATCCCTGTACTGGCCCGCCATACATACAAACACAAAAATAATAATGATATTTTCAACTATTTACAAGAAAAAAATGGCTGGTTAGCTCAGTTGATTAGAGTACAGCCTTATAACATCAAGGTCATGGGTACTGGCCCGCCATACATACAAACACAAAAATAATAATGATATTTTCAACTATTTACAAGTATATGTTCATATAATCTTAAAGATAAATTTCCATACTAAAGCCTTTGAATAATGCTGTTGATTTGTCATGTTTCTGCCTTGATTCACTTTTGGTACTATCTCCTGCCTTGCAATGACCCACATGGGGGCAAAGGTTTGCCACTGTATATTTGGTCTGTGAAATGTGAGTTAGCTATAAAGCATGGTCAGTAGCAACAAACAGGCCAATTAAAGTTGGCTCTCCAAATCCAGCTTCTGTGCCTATCACATATAAAAGTTAAGCAGTATAACAAGTTAAAAATTTTAAAAGCATATGATCTTGAGAACTATCAGTTTAAGAGAGGAAAATGAAAAGGATAAATATAAGTAAGTGATGAGAAACTTTAGTTGAAAGTGACAGAAAGAAATAAAAGGCATCTGAATCAGAAAGGAACAGGTAAAATTATCCATATTTGCAGGCAGCATGATCTTATATATAGAAAACCCTCCAAACATCACCAAAAACTGTTAGAACAAATAAATTCAATAAAGTTGCTGGATACAAAATCAACATACAAAAATTGGTTGCATTTCTATAATACTAATAAGGAACTATCCCAAATGGAAATTCGGAAACCAACCCCATTTACAATAACACCAAAAGGAATAAAATACTTAGAAATAAACTTAATTAAAGAGATGAGCAACTTGTATATTGAAAACCACAAAACACTGATGAAAGAAATTAAATAAGACACAACTAAGTGGAAAGACATACTGTGTTCATGGTATGACCTAATATTGTTAAAATGTTCATACTAACCAAAGTAATCTACGGATTCAATGTAATTTCTATAAAAATTCCAATGGCATTTTTAGAGGAAATAGAAAAACAAACAAAAAATTCATATAGAATCTCAAAGAACCCCAAATAGCCAAAATAATCTTGAGGAAAAAAACAAAGCTAGAGGCATCACACTTGCTGACTTCAAAATATATTACAAGGCTACGGTAAGCAAAACAGCATGGAACTGGCATAAAGACAGACATATTGACCAATGGAACAGAGTAGAGAGCCAGAAGTAAATCCATACATATGTGGTAAATTGACCTTGGACAAAGGTACCAAAAATACATAATAGGGAAAGGATAGTCTCCTCAACAAATAGTGTAAGAAAACTTGATATCCATATGCACAAAAATGATGTTAGAACCCTACTTTACACCGTACATAAAAATCAAAATGGATTAAAGAATTTAATGTGATACCGGAAAGTATAAAACTCCTGGAAGAAAACACAGGCAAAAAGCTCTGTGACATTTGTCTTGGCAATGATTTCATGGGTATGACAACAATAGCACAGACTACAAAAACAAAAATAAACAAGTGGGACTACATTCAACTAAGAAGCTTCTACACAGCAAAGAAAAAGTCACCCTATGAAATGCCAGAAAATATTTGCAAGCCATATATCTGATGAGGGGTTAATATCTAGAATATATAAAGAACTCCTGCAACTAAACAAACAAACAAAACCCAAATAATCTGATTAGAAAATGGACAAAGGACTTGAATAGACACTTCTCTAAAGAAGACATAGAAATTGCCAACAGGTAGATGAAAAATGCTCAATGTCACTAATCAATAGGGAAATACAAATAAAAGCCACAATGAGATATCACCTCAGCACTGTCAGGATGGCTATTAACAAAACAAAACAAAAAATCAAAATACAAGTGTTGGTGAAGATGTGGAGAAATTGGAACCCTTGCACACTGTTGGTGGGAATGCAAAATGTTGCAGCTGCTATGGAAAACAGTACAGAGGTTACTCAAAAAATTAAAATGATCTAGAAACTCCACTTCTATACATTTATCCAAAAGAATTGAAATCAGGGTCTTGAAGAGATCGCGGCATTCCCATGTTCACTGCAGCTTCAATCATAATAGCCAAGATGTGGAAACAACCTAAATGTCTATCAGCACATGAACAGATAAAGAAAATGTGATACATACATAGAATGAAATCCTATTCAGCATTTAAAAAGAAAGAAATTCTGCAATATGTGACGACAACATGAATGAACCTTGGGGATATTATAAATAAGTAAAATAAGCCAGTCACAGAAAGACAAGTACTGCATGATTCTACTTATATGAAGTATCTAAAATAGTAACATTCATAGAATCAAAGAGTGGAATGGTGGTTGTCAGGGACTGGATAGAGGGGCAAAGGGCGAGAAACTGAAGTTTGAGTTAAGCAAGATGAATAAGCTGTAGAGCTCTGCTGTACAATGTCGTAGCCATAGTCAACCATAATGTATTGTACACTTAAAACTTTGCTAGGAAGGTAGGTAACATGTTAAGTTTTCGGACCACAATAAAAAGGAATTAAATGCAAAAAAAAAGTAACATCTGGGGAACTGTACCTGATAACTCATCTAGCAAAAAGGCCACGTTTTCATTTCCCGAGAGGATGCTGTACGTCACTTTTCCATTCCTTCCTTCATCGGGATCTTGAGCAGTTACATGATGCACCAAGGAGCCCACAGCGGCATCCTCTTTGACATGGGCAATGGGGAGAGACATAAACATGGGGCTGTGGTCATTTACGTCCAAAATCACTACTTTTGCTGTCAGCGATCTCAATTGCCGGTCTGTCACATTCACAGCCTGATCAGAGGCGGTTACTGTCAGGATGACAGCTGGAATGCTCTCTCTGTCAAGGGGGGATGCAGTGACTAATGTGCCATGGGAGGGGTGGATGAGAAATGGATTCATAACAGGGTGGTGGGATTCAATGAAGTATTGTATTCTGCTGTTCAAAAAACTGCCATCGCCATCTTTGGCATTGAAGACATACACCAGGGTCCCTACAGGAACATTCTCTTCTACCCCTAACACAATGAACTCATCCTGGAAAGACGGGGAATGGTCATTCTGATCTTCCACATCAATACTGAGGAAGGCTGTGCTATTCAGAGGAGGATTTTTGCTGTGGTCTTCAGTAATCACCCTGAAAAGATAATGCGATGTCATTTCATAATCAAGTTCCTTAGAAAGGAACAAGTCTCCTGTTGAGCTGTCAATTTCAAAGTGACTATCCCTGTCATCTGCAACAATACTAAAATGTAACTTTGTAGTTTGATGCTGCTGAAGGTGATCTGGTGACTTTATCAAGCTCATTATTTTTGCAGGCTTTAAGTTTTCTGGTATAACTAAATGTCTAATATTCTGAGAAATGATAGTTCTCCCTTTGGATAGTGGGATCACCTGAAAAAAGAAAAAAAAAGAGCTGTTAATTTGATGTATTTTTTTTTTTTTTGTCTTTTGTCTTTTTTCCTGTCCGGCAATGGATCGCAACCCTCAGTGTCGCGCCCGTACCGGACCGGGGACCGGCAACGAGATCGCAACCCTCGGGGTCGCTCCCGCGCCTCGCTCAGCCAGTGAGAGGGAACCGGTCCGTATGTGGGATCCGAACCCTCGGGCGGGAGCGCAGCCGCGCTTCCCAAGCGGCACACTAATCCAGTGCGCCACCGGGCCGGCCCAATTTGATGTATTTTTTAAACAATTCAATCAATACATGTTATGATATTATTTTGAAGCTAATTCCTTTCATTTGCGTAATAAACATATGTTAATTGGTGAGAAAATGTTTTTTTGTTATATAAATCCAGTATGTCTCAGAAGATTGAAAATTGCATAGTATTTAGGAGATAAGAAACTACAGAATTTTCCACTTTTCTGATTGTTGTAATGTCTGGAATGATAAGTGATTGAGGTCGTACTGTAGTTAAGCTGAACTGCAGCTTTGTGATTCTTCACTGGGAATGTGCGATAGTTCTCCAAATTACCTTAAATCCTAGAGACCAACCTACCCATAATGACAACATCTGTGTGCATTTAAGTATCATGTGCCTTTGTTTGTCTTAAACAAGAAACTGGATATTTGACCATATACATTTTTCTCCTAACCCACATAACCTTAAAAAATAAAGAATATAACTTGGAAACAGAACTCTGCAGGATAAATATCCTTGATTATTTTATATACCCATATTAATATTAATGATTATCATGTGCATGAACAAAGAAGTCTAGCTATGCAGAGTCATCTTGTTTTTGACTGGTCGGTATAAATTTTTCTTATTATGAAGACTTTTCACAACATGTTTGGTCATTATGATTAAAGTAAATCCTTAAAATATAGATCTCAGGTGACTTTTCTAAATTTAAAAAAATTTTAAAAACTATGTGATTTATTATGTGGCCATTTGTTCACATATAAATTTCTCTTACAAAGTATCAGGTCCTTGCAATTAGGAACAAGTAAAAGAAAAGACACCTTCTGTTCATCATAAATAAAGCAACATAATTGCCCATACAGTGATGAACATCTTGTCAAGAACTATACAAATAATTTAAAAAATAATTTGGACCTAAATCATTTCTTTGGTAATATCAAACAGGAAAATATGTATGTTCAGTGCTCTCTTAGAATAGTATTCATATATTAGATGTATCTTCACCCTATGCACTTGAATGAAAATGAAATGAAACCTTCAGAACATCCTTCCACATTTTATGGTGATGATATTACCTGAATATTAATAACTGCCTTTCCTTGAAGAGCAGGCACTCCCTGGTCACTGGCAATGACAGTCATCCTGTAGGAAGGTCTATAATCACATGAAAGTATTGTGCTTGTTCTTATTTCACCACTGTTGGCATCAATCTTAAAGTGATCAGAAGAATCTTCTACACACACAAAAAATTAAGAAATTAATGTTAATTGACCACCCAGAAAACAGAGAATCAGTTAATCTAATATATCTGTGATCATCTGGAAGATTTATTTGTCTTAAGGTCTATGAGAGGATGAACACAAAAATGACACTAAAAATATAGACATGAAACATAACAGATTTAAAAAAAAATGTTACTATGGAAATTTTCAAGCATACAAAAAAAAGTAGACAAAATGATGTAATGAACTCCCATGTGCCCATCACCTAGCTTCAATAATTACTGACTCATGGTCAATCTTATTTAATCTATTGCCCATTTATATACTTCCCTTCCCCTATTTTTTTTGAAGCAAGTACCAGTAATCGTATGTGCCCATCACCTAGCTTCAATAATTACTGACTCATGGTCAATCTTATTTAATCTATTGCCAATTTATATACTTCCCTTCCCCTATTTTTTTTGAAGCAAGTACCAGTAATCGTATAATTTCTTCTGCATATATTTTAACATGCATCTCTAAAAGATAAGGAATATTTTTAACATAATCACAGTACCATATTATACTTTAAAAATTAATAATGATTCATTAGTTTCACCAAATATCAAGTAAGTTTCCAAATTTCCAACCAGCTCATAAATATTTGTACCTTTTTAAAAAAATTTATTCAAATTAGGATCAAAATAAGTTCATATATTGCATATATCTTCAACCTGTGGATTCCTGTCATCTACCTCTTTGTTTTGTCCTTGCAATTCATTTATTAAAGAAACTACATCATGTATACTGAAGTTTCCCAAGATCTAGACTTGGCTATTGCATCTCCAGTGTGTAGCTTAATATGTTTCTCTATCCTCTGTGTTTTCCTTAAATTGGGAGGTAGATCTAGAGAACCGATGAGATTCAGGTTTGATTTTTTGGCAGGACTATTTCATAAATGCTATGTTTCCCTTCAGAGGCACATGTCTGGCTGCCCTTTGTTTTTGATGTTGGCTCCTGTTGATGCAAAGCCTAGATCCACTAAGATTCATGAGGCATTGCAAAGTATAATATTCTGTTTTATCAGACCTTCCTCATTTATTAGCTGGAATATTTCAATAAAGAGAAACTTCCTCTTATTTACTTTTGGTAGCAAAGTGGAACAGTTTATTATAGGAAAGGCAGGCCAAATGCTTGATGCTAAACTTTTATTTAGCAGTTTTTGAAATAATGGGTTTGTTCACTAACCTCCTCCAAGGCTCCAACTATGATAAGTAAAGTTTTGTCTTGTTTTTGTTTCAAGAATCATTAAGCATGAATTTAAACATATCAGATGTATTTCAATATATAGCCATTATTATTCTCATTGATGGATAGTTTCTATTTAGAATATATTTTTAAAAACTACTATAATTTTTCATTAAACTTTTAAATTCTTTTTTTTTTTAAATGAAAGTGACTTTTGACAGTAGCAAATATATTTCATTTGTACTTTGATATTATTTTCAAAGTTAACTAGAGTATTGTGAGTAATCAAAACAGAATCTGTTTTCCTAGAAGGACATAGTTGATAAATGGGAGAGGAAATTCTAAAAACTCTCAATACTTTATGAATAGTGGCTTTTACCTGAAGATACTGAATATGTAACTTCTGCATTGTTTCCTTCATCAAGATCCTTTGCAAATATATTTCATTTGTACTTTGATATTATTTTCAAAGTTAACTAGAGTATTGTGAGTAATCAAAACAGAATCTGTTTTCCTAGAAGGACATAGTTGATAAATGGGAGAGGAAATTCTAAAAGCTCTCAATACTTTATGAATAGTGGCTTTTACCTGAAGATACTGAATATGTAACTTCTGCATTGTTTCCTTCATCAAGATCCTTTGCGAACACAGTTGTAACCAATGTATTTACTGGCTGACCTTCCAGGACCTGTCATTCAAACAAAT